CGGGTCACTTCCATTGTGCTTTTGCGGGTTAGGCTGGTCTCTGAGCCATGCTAGTAGTCCCAGGCCCTATTGTATGTCGTATTATGGCTTTTTTAGTCTTCAGGAGAGTCTCGGGGTGCCACGTTACAAGGCAATATGTACGGTTGAACATTTAGTGCATATTAAGTTAAGCCTACTCCACGATAATGGCGAAGAGTTGTAGGAAACATTGTGTATCATCCTTGTCATGTAACGTTCTTTCTTCATTCAATCGTCCTCTCTGCTTCCAGATGGAACCAGAAGGATGAAAGGTTTCTTTCCGTTTTTTTAATAATTTAATTTTATTCGTGTATAGGTCACAGGCTATGATTTATTTTAACATGTGGGAAATTGGGGAAATTAGTCCAATTTTCATTTTACTTGTCATATTTTATTTTGCCTTTAGGAAAATTGAAAAGTTGACTTTCTGATCATAAATATGACCATCGTTTCCTGTCGCTGTCTTTTGATTTTTGCATTTTTATCATAGTGAACATTTTAGTCAGCTTTCAAGATATCCGGCTGAAAGTTATTGACCTATGGAGTAAAAAAAGAATTCCTGAAATTCAGTGATGAAATGTTATTAAATCACTTACAAGGTGAGTGCAATTAGGTTCGGTTTCACTATTCTTCGGATTTAAAACACTACGAGCACATGGTCCTCTTCGCACTGCAAGGTGTTATGTTACGGAAAGCTTTGTTGATTATTTAACAATGTTATAATTAGCTAAAAAAGTTAGCTTTAGTAACATCAGAACATCGTACTGGCGAAATATTTGGGCACAACATTTGTCACCTGTATCGAAATGAACCAATTGTGTATCAGTAACAGTAACACCTATTTTTCGCAACGGCACACGTGTAATCGTGAATAAACTTTGCCAGGTTCTTTTTGCTAAAAGTATATTTTTAGCGCCCCAAGTCTTGCTCGAAGTCGTAACAGGCCATATCGACGTGGAAGAAGATAATGCTATTGCCTTACAGACGGGCTGGGAAGCTAGAGGCATGTCTAAAGGCTCATGTCCCAAGCGAAAGTACAGCCTACGGAGACGAAAGACCTCGCACGACTAAACACGCGACTGATCAGTGAGGCAATGCGCTACACTTTTATATCACCCATCCTGGCATGTTTCCTGCATTATATTAGGAGATACATGCAGTAAAGTGGTTTGATATGACTATAGTTCCATCTAATTTTGATGCCTTAAATACAATTGACTTTAATCTAATGGCAACAGAATGAAATCGGTTCATTAGGATTTTTCATGTTTTGAGCAAAGATGCTAATTATAATTTCATGCCTTTGCCATTCATAATTAATTTCTTTGTTCTCTTGAAAGAAATCATTGTGCTGGGAGCTATTTCCGAGGTATGGGCGACACTCGGTAATGACTAAACCTTTTGTTGCCGTGCATAGCCAGTTTTTGCGCCTTACATCAATTTAAGGCTACCGTTTTGTAGTATTTTACTAGTTGTCGGGGAGAATAGAGAATACTTTTTCATCTAGGGATGTTTTTTGTTTTGAGTTTAACTGCAGATGATCTTGGGGTTCGGTTGAGGTTTTAACTGCGTCATGCACCCCAGTTCCTTACACGTCAAAACTTCGTATAAATTTTTACCTCCATATGATCATACACAATCGTAAAAACAAAACTTCATTCCTACCGTACAATTTGAAAGCTGTCGCAACCACCTATTCCATTTGTTTCTTCAATTTTTCCCTCCTGGGAATGATTCTTTAACCCCTAGAACCGT